AGCTCATTTAAACTGCATAAAAAATTTGTAAAGAACAAATATCTGCTCACAATTTTTCAGTAATATTCATACAGCTGTTTATTTTCTAAATATACTTATTTTTTTGCAAACGTTGTACCGTTTAGCATCATTCCATTCTTCTTGCAAGGGTACAACATAGGTGTCTATTTAATACCTGCTTTTACATTGGATGTCATTGTCCTTTCAATTTTTTGTCCTGTTGAAAAGTAACACTTAACCATCCATTAATAATATCGGGTGGTATTAAATACAATGTTAAATTTCTCATTTGCTTATAACCTATTATAACTGATAACGACAGCAAAATTATCGCTTCTTTAGAATAATTTAGCATGCATTAAATTTGCCCAACAATGTATTTTTGCAATAGCTAATTATTTTTTATCTATTAGATATGTCTGAACCTCCAACCAATTATGGTAATTTAATTATCTTGTCTCCAGAGAACACCGTGTCATATAAATTTATGATTTTATTATAAGCGTTGATATCTCGGTTTAATCGTCTAAGAAGCATTGCAAAGGAGTTTCAAGGCAGCCACATCACTGTGGTGTGAAACAATATCATGTGCTGTGTATGTAAAACAACCGGCATAAGAAACTGTTCCTTTCGTGTGGGTTTAATTAACGCAATTATAATTATATGTGTAATTAAGTAGGTCAGATGTAAATATTTTAATAGGGAATATTATGTTACTGAAAGGAATATGGCGTAATTAAATACCTTTTATTGGCTATAATTACATTTAGGTTTCGTTATAATGTAATTTAATTATTATTGATCCAATTACTTGCAAAATAGGTCAAGTATTTACCGCAAACACATTGTAGCGTAAGTAGAATGAAAAAGAAATAATACTCCTATGTTTCCTTTTTTAAAAGTTGTATTACATGCGCTGAACTCATAACAAATACACAGGGTGGCCAAATGAAAACGAAACAGAGCCAATTTCAGAAACTGCGTCAAGATTGTAAAAATACCAGCAAAGAATATTCCCCTTTAATCTAAAATCGAAGGGTCTGAGCGTTTTTCTACAATCTTGACGCAGTTCCTGAAAATCGCTCTGTTTCGTTTTCATTAGGCCACCCTGTATATGGTGGAGCTTACAGGGCACTGTACCTACGTGATATTTAAAATTAAGATAAATTTATTTATATTTAATACCGTACTATTTGTGCATTTCCGGGAAATTATATATATTTTTTCTCTATAATTACTAGAAAAACTTATGGTTTTTTGTTTTTGAAAATAAATTCCCTTTTGGAAAATAAGACACAAACATCCTATCAACATAGGTCCGCTCCTGTTTTGTATTAGAGAGACAGGTTGTTAAAGATTTCCAAATTTTATTTTTTTTTTTTAAGTCTCAAATGAATGAAATTTGAGTTGTGAAAACCATTTAAAATCGTGCATATTTTAGTATTAAACAGGTGTAGACAGCTTCAACAGAGACGTGCGTGGTTAGCACTGGAACAATTTTGTAAAAAAATTTTTACACTAAGCAAACGCAAACGCGAAGTCAGTTACCGCTGTTATTACCGGTTTCGTACGGTGCGCTGATTTTCCGGATTTATATACAGTAGCGTATGAACCAGGCCACCGCCACTTACAGATATACAATGCACTTCCATAGCCTTCGCTAGAAATTTTTGAAATGCCCTTGTTGTTCTCCGGCTAAGCTCTGTGGGGCGGACCTACCATCATAATCTCTAGGCCCGGTCTGATATGCAGTTCTCGTTGGCTTTAAGGCAGCTGCGGACGGAGTCGTTCCTCAGACAATGGTGGTCTTCTGAAACGTTCGGTAGTTAGTCGCATCCAACGCTTCCGAATAGTGGTGACTGCAATAGTTGTACCGCGACTGAGTTCAAGACGAGTTTAGGGTTTCTAAAGTCCGCCTTTATAGAGCCTAGCCCGAGAACAACTGAGTCACGTTAAAAATTCCTAGCTAAGGTTACTAATTTATGAGTCTGCAACTGGCGACGACCTGAAAAACCTGAATGTCCACGGATAAAACTGAAAAGTAACATTTTTTATATTTTTCAATCTATGAAATAAAAAAGCATTACTTTTAAAAAAATTCTGCTTCTATACACATCTACAAAAATGTAGTTTTAAGTGGGCAAGCATATACAGGAACATTTAGAAATATAGTCATTGATTTTATACTTAGAACTCAACACTATGCGAGATAAAAAACAGAACCATTTGTGTCAAAGACAAAAAATATTTGGGTGGAATTATTACAACTTGAGGAACAATTCTGCTTAGTTAAAGAATAATTTGTACCCAATTTTTATTTCTCTAAAATTATGTAGGCTTTGTCGCATACAAAAAATATATTTTCTGTCTATTTCGTGTAAGACATATAGGCCAACCAATAGAGATTTATTGGCACACTTAAATATTACAGCAAATTTCATGTATTACCTTTTAAAAAATACTTAGTAAATGAAAACTCAAGTAATTTCCCAAGCAAAGTCGTGAACAATTTTTTTAAACAATAAAAACTGCAAAAAAATTTTTTTTGTTATTTTTATATCTCGAAAAATAATGTTGGAATTATTTTACTCTCAATAGGACTTGTAAAGAATAAAAAAAACCTATAAAATGATTTTTTGTGCGACCAGATCGGTTCATTTTTTACAGAGAAAATCCGGAAAACTTCTAAAATAGACTTTTTTAAAAAAATTCATAACCGTCAAATTTGAAGCTAGAAAAACAATATTACGGAAAATGACAGATAATAAATGTGTAGTTTAATTGTGCGCAAGATGGTTTTTATCCGATGCATAGTTTTTGCACAATTGCATTATAAACAAATTAGGCTCTTTTTTGCACAGCGTGGCAATTTATCAAAAATGGTCTGATTTAAATTCTGAAAAAAACGGCATCTGAAAGTAGACGACAAAATTTCCAATTTGTATATCTCGGATTTTCGTCTGGGTGATGGCAAATATGCTAAAAATACCCTTGAAAGTCAAAACCATCTTGCGCACGATTAAACTACATATTATTATCTGTCATCTTCCCCAAGATTGTTTTTCCAGCTTCAAATTTGACGGAGTTATGAATTTTTGAAAAAAGGTCTATTTTAGAGGTTTTTCCGGATTTTCTCTATAAAAAATGATCGGGTCGGACAAAAATCCATTTTATAGGTTTTTTTATTCTCTACAAAAGTCCTAATCAGAGTAAGACGATTCCATCATTATTTTTGGAGATATAAAAAAAACAAAAAAATGTCATTTTTTGCAGTTTTTATTGTTTAAAAAAAATTGTTCACGACTTTGTTGGGGAAATCACTTGGGTTTTCATTTACTAAGTACTTTTCAAAATGAAATACATGAATTTTGCTGTAATATTTAAGTGTAAAAATAGCCTGACCTAATACAAATATTTCATTAGAAAATTTTTTCCAGAATTAAAATTTATTCCCTTATTGCAAATATGATTTTTCTGAAGTCTCCCTCTTGTAGGTAAAGTGCTCATTCTGTATAAGTGATTGGAAAAAATATTAGAAGCTGTTTAGAATTAAAATTCATAATAAAGTACTAAATTTTGTCGCAAATTAATTTTAATTTTACAATTCAATGATTCACCAAATCAATAAATATGAAAGGAGGCCGATTACTTTCCAGTTTCGCATTCAGACATACATACATTTTAATTGTAAATAACTTTCAACAAACATTTTTTGATATCCTATATGAAAAAGGGACCTACACGGAAAATAATTTGTTTCTGACAAGACTTATTCAGAAATAAAAATGTGCTACAAAGGAGTTTAAACTCATACAGAATAGTTTACTACATTTGAACAAAACAGATTTTTTAATAAGAATTAGGTACTTTTTTTCATAAAATGAAAAATAAAAAAGGTTTCTCCCTTTTCAGCTACAAATATGTGGACACTCTGTATATGCCTACATTTTGACCCAGGACTTTTTAAGGTACCATTTCCATACCCATCTAGCTCTGCAGTTAAGAGTATGTAGGTACAGTTCTTTATGAAACACCCTACATAAAACCCGTATATAAATCAATATTTACAATTGTTATATGGTTACAGAACTCGGATAGAACAGTTATAAAATACTTTTTTGACTAAAGTCACATGTTAAAGTAATGGTCGAAGTAATGGCATTTAACCACAAACGTGTTATATTATCAGAGATTTATATACCTATCTAATATTTTAGAACAATTTTCTTATATTATACTATTTAAATATGGATGTACCTAGAATATATTATTTCAGAAGGTTGTCAGGCGGACTACTTTTAATATTTGCAATTCCAGACCTTAATGTGGGCACAACATTTGAATTTTAAATGTATTTTTATATAACTTAAATATCTTACATATGAAATGGACCCTTTTTATTACAAGGCCATCTGTTTTTGAAGTAAAAAATATATATTTTTACTGTTTCCTAAATAATCCAAATAAAGTAAACACCTAAAAATTGGAAAAAAATATTTTTTTGCACTGCTTTTATCACACGGTCTTTCAAAACAAATTTGTACCACGAGTTATAATTTTCAGAATGAAGTTAAAACAGTGACTGCTGTCGTCTTAGATGTCTAATACTTTGACTTTTTTTTATAAGACATTAATTAACAGGAAATTTTTTATTGTCTACACTAAATATTATGTGCAAAACATTAAATAAATAAAAATATAGTATATCACTTTCTCACTCCATCTCACAACAACATAAATGAATAATAATTGAAAAAAAAATGGAAGAGAAAATATCAGAGGCAATGTTAATATTTAAGTTGGCAGCAGCTCGTGATTTTTCTAATTTCTGTTTTAAATTTAATTTGTGAAATATGGGCTAGTAATAATAAATTCTGATAAAATCTGAGGGTTAATCATATTAAAATGTATCAACTTTGTGATTAAAATTATTCATTAGAGCGCATTTACATTTAGATAACTTCCTATCACGTTACCATTAAACAATAAAAAAGACAAACCTGTTTCTGGCTTAGCCGTCTTAAAATCCCCGACGCTGTTGCAGTCCGAATCGTAGCACTCCGACAAAATATTGCCGGTCCGTCTCTTTCTCACAGCATACGTATGCACCGGCACAATCAACTTGGGCCTCGGGATCAAGAAGTCACTGGAATCACAACCGCCTCGCCGCAAAGTGGGCGACGAGTTCTTAGTCCTGTCTCGCAATTTCGGCTGGGAATTTATCACATTTCGCTTTGGACTCGAGCCGTTCTTATACAAACTATACACTTCGTTGATTTCACTGTCTGCGGATGAAGACGAAGTTTTCGCGTAAGAACGCTCGTCTGCTACCGATTCGCTTGAAGAGGAAGAAGAAGGGTAAATGTTTTTCGGTGGAAGTCGCTGTCGGGGTTTTTCAGAGTGTTCGTAATAACCGCTGTCGCTTCTGTTCAGATTTGTGTGGGCTTCTTTCTTCACTTCATCTTCGCCAACAGTTATTAAATATTTGTTTTGGTCGTCTATCCACGTACTGACGCGTTCTTGCACTTCGTCAGAATCAGACACGTCTTCCTGGTTTAGCAATTGATCGTCTATTTCGCTAAGTGGATTGGATATGACTCTTACTTTGTTGTCTTCCTTATCATGGTTGTCATCTTCATAGTGATCTACCATGGTACCTGTTATTTCCGTGCTGATTTCATCGAAACGAACAGATTTCTTGATATGTTTTTGTAGATCATCGATGACATTTTTAAATTTTTCCCTGTCTTGGTCTCCGTTCACCGGAAGCTTTTTCCTTGGTTTAGGTTTCGGAATCGCTTTGCCATCAGCTTTAAAGCTTCTGTCTCTTTGCACTTTAGCTTGGGAAGGCAAGAAATATTTAGGAATTTCCTCTTCCACGTCTTTCTTATTTTTCGAGTTTATTCTTGACAAACACTTCTCACTGTGGTATTTTAACCTTATACTGTCCTTTCCGCTCTTGTTGAGCTTATTGGGTATTGCGTAGATGTCTTCATTGTCTTTTTTTATATCATCCAACATACTCTGATACTGACCAAGCCGACTAGATATAGTACCATCCATACTTTTATAGCTGTATTTATCCCACGAATTGGAGGCTGAGCTATTGTTGGATAAAGACTTTTGCGCATCTTCCCAATTTGCTTCATATAGTCTTCCTCTTGTAGAGTTCGGGATGTCCATTTCTAGCCAAGCTGGATCATTCATCACGGCCTTACCTGGGTAGTGTTTAATCTTCATTCTGATTTGCGTTAAAGTTTAATGTAAACTGACTTCATTAATGGGTGTGAAGTTTCATTGTATTTTCTTTACAAGGCAGAACACCTATTTTTTCGGCCTATTTAACCGCTGAATCTGAAAACAATCGTGCTTAAGGATATTTGCTCATGTTTATATACAGATTAATGAGGCGTGGCAGATAGTGTTAACCTGTGCTGTAAAGTGAAATAGAAAATTTTCACCGTTAACATGAACAATACACATTTTCGTTTGGTTGACTGAATAATGAAGTCTATCTAATTGTAAGTATAAAGAATATTGTTATAAGTGTTTAAGTTTCACTTTAATGTCTATACTCTTCTAACAGCGCATCGTTATATTAATTCAAGACATTATTGAACATGTAATAATTAGTATAAATATGGGTAAGTAGGTTTGGTATTTATTAAATACATATTTATTAAATATTTTGAACAAAAGGAATGCAATATGATTAATTTTAATCTGAATATAAAAATTGATGAATAATTCCAATATTCAGTTAAATACGTTTATACACTGCAGAACAAAAGTTTTATGGAGAATAAAAGTTTTCTGAATATAACTTTTTATTGTAGGTAAGTACACTATATTGATAGAGGGCTAGAAAACAGTGAGCTCAAAGAGTAATAAGTAGGTTAAACAGAAAATAAATAAGTAATTAATTGATTCTGAAGGTAAAATACTGAAAACGATAGAAGAGAATAACAAATTAGGGCTGTTTATATGTGGAAATCTATGTAAAATACAGGATGATTTACAAACGGTAACCAAAAACCTCGTATTCTTTGGTGAATTTTAAGGGGTCTTTCCTATAAACTTTTTATCTAGGGCACTTCCTTAAAAAGATACAGGGTGTTAAACTTCAGAATATATTTTTAATTTTTTTTTAAATAATTTAAAAACTAGTAAGTGAAATAATTTGAAATTGAACACATGTATTTATGTAAGCATTGTCCAAAATCTGTAGGTTTTTCCTAAAATTTATATGCTCCAGTGGCGGAAATTCAGGGTATCGGTAGAATATTTTTCTAAATATACAGGGTGATTCAGTCATAATGTCATTAATTTTAACCACGTATTCGGAAGGCTTAATAAAGACAGAAAATCGGAAAAAAAAATTTTTTACTCGACTTTTAAAAATGAAGGAAATCAACCCATAACTCCCGCTACGAGGGCTGCCCTGCCGATGCCCGGATGCTCGGAAAATTTTGTAACGTAATGTCACGAACAGTTGTCGGCTAAAGGAACAGCGTTGCCAAGTTCAGGTTCAAGCTCGCCAGGTTAGTATTTGACATATAACCGACCACTTCGTACACTCGATGCACCTGGGCGACTACAGCTACTACGAAAACAGCGGGTATTTTAGATTTTAAATTAAATTTGTTGATACGATTTTCCTTTGATAAAAGACCGACAACTTTTTGCTACTACACTCGTATTAGTCTAGGGGCTAGGGGCCAGATAGGTTTCCGTAGCCAAACAGAATTCCACGGCTGCAAATAACTTATTTTTAAGTATTTTGACTTCTCGAAACCAAAAAACTTGGTGGCAAAGCCTGAAAGTGGTCAGTTTAATTGTTGTTAACAAATTGAATGTTTAAATGGCTGTAAAAAGTTTATTTTTATAGCTAGTACAATTTTTTATCTGTTAATTATTACGTTTTCTCACAACAAACATATATTTTTTTGAAAATTAAAAAAAGATTAACTTTAACCAAAGTTATTGCAAATTTAGTGCAAATATATTACATTTTCCGTCTCTGCGCGCACCAATTTTACCATATCTCTGGTTCAATTGGACGGATTGAGACGCACATCTCATTTTAAAACTTAAACTTTATTTTACAAGATAGGTAAGTTCCATTGATTAATTAATTTATTTAAAAATTAATGGCAGCTTAGAAAGTTGTGGAATTTCAACGAAAATGTTGGCTTTATTGGTTTATAAAACTTTTTTTGTTATTCAATTTTTATGAAAAGCCAAAAAAGTTACCGGTTATTGTTCCTCGCATCCTAACAATGATTTCATGCCTTGCTTGATTGTTAGAATGCAAAGAACAATATCCGGTAACTTTTTTGGCTTTTCGTCGAAGTTGAATAATAAAAAAAACCTTATAAACAATTAAAACCGGCATTTTCGTTGAAATTTCACAACTTTCTAAGATGCCATTAATTATTAAATAAATTAATAAATAAATGGAACTTAGAACCAGATATGGTAAAATTAGTGCGCACGGAGACGGAAAATGTAAGAAATTTGCACTAAATTTGCAATAACTTTGGTTAAAGTTAATTTTTTTTAATTTCCAAAAAAATACATATTTGTTATGAGAAAACGTAACTATTAGCGAATAAATTGTACTAGCTATAAAAATAAACTTTTTACAGCCATTTAAACATTTAATTTGTTGATAACAATTAAACTGACCACTTTCAGGCTTTGCGACCAAGTTTCTTTGGATTCAAGAGGTCAAATATTTAAGAATAAGTTGTTTGCACATCGGGCTCCTGGACTATATGGTGCACGTGTGCAAATTAAAACTGGGTTAAAAGGTTACTGAACCACAGGTTACCCTAGGTCGGAAACACGACGTACCGAGTTGTTTATTTGTCTCCGTCCCATTGTTTTTTTATGGAATATACAAGTCTCTCTTCTAATTGCAGTCAATATTTAAATACTGCATACAATTTATCCTCTCTTTATAATTTATCTAGTGAGTGTTGGTTTTTTATGACATTATTTCTGTAACGAAATTGAAATGGTTATGAAATGAAATTTAAATTATTTGAACTTTTGGGGTTTTGTAACTTCAATATTAAATCTTATTTAAAGTGAAACAGCTAATTTCTTTGCAGCCATAATAGTCACATTTGGTCAGATGAAACACACTACTACCCGCACACTACTCGTCGGTGGTATAGCTTTCAGAGGAGATTCGGTGTCAATGTCAATGGCGATCGTTTAATTGGGCCGCATTTTCTACCTGAACATCTGAATGGGCCGCGTTACTAATTTTTAGTAGAATTGTTTGAAAACCTTCCCCTTCGGGCTTACAGCAAATGTTGTTAAAATATTAAAATTATGATGCTAATAAAAACTGATTTTTGGCAAGGCATGCTCAGACCTCGAGGTTCTTGCTGGGCAACAATAACAATTTAATATGTTGATTGCATAAATAAAAAATAATTTATAGCATTTTAAATTATTATTGGCTGACGTGAGCAAAACCGTTTATTTATTGTCTTTATATGAGCGAAAATATATAAATATGGCAACGTTGCATCTAGGGCGCGTTGTTCATAGGTTCATATCGTAGCCGTGCATAATATTGTGACGTCAGCCGGTCAGTAACAGCCTGAAAAGGGGGTTAAATAATGATTTGAAAATATTTTTTTTCAGCTTAAATATGCATTTAAATTTTTTTTTAATCACGCCATCGTATTATACTCATTTTTCTCTATCTGCTCTTAAAATTAATGACATTATGACTGAATCACCCTGTATATATATAATAATATACGGCATATTATCTAATAACACGGCTTACAGCTTTAAGAACTGGCAATATTGTCATGTTTTACTATGCTGCTAAGTTGGCAGTGCCAATAACAGCCAATAGTACCGCCTGTCCCTTAAGTGTACATCTACTATAACTTCATTCATGTTATACATATTTTATATAAATATTTACATAATAGGTACTTTAATTTCTTTGTTGACCATTCACATAAAATCAACATATGTAACCCCCCCTTCCCCTGAGATCTGCGCCTGCCTATGGTGTGGTAAAGGTATGAAATAAAGGCATATTTGAGCATTTCTGCATTATTAAATAAATTTTCAAATTTTGTATTAAAAACCATATTATACTATTATAACGAGCGTTCAAATAAAAAAGTGGTCGAAGTTGGCTCTGACACATTGGACGTAGGGCGTAGCTTATAGCGACCAACTTAACCTCATTTCCCAACGAGCTGTATAGCAGCTGTCAGTTTCAATAACAAAGCGGCGATACAGCGCTTTGACAGATGACGTTTAAGTTCATTGCTATACGCTACGCCCTACGTCCAAATTTTTAGAACCAACTTGACCACGTTTTTATTTGAACGCTCGTTATAATAGCCCGTCTAGTTCTAGACAAAGAACAGTTTTTGTCTCGTACAATGAGGAAATTTTATGGCTCACAAGAAGTCATGATTTAACAGCCATGTATTTTTTGCTCCGAAAGATGAAGTAAACAAAGAACGAATTAAAAACTTATAAGACCTATAAGAGTAAATAAATATAATATATAAAGTTTTTTCAGAATTACAGAAGACAGACAATTACTGTGGATAGAATCAGTTCGAAAATTATGTAAATCAGAATTTAGTCCGACAAACACATCATTATTTTTGAGACCATTTTGAGTAAAAAATGTTTAAAAAACAGTAATAGGAAGTGCTGTGCAAACATTATTTTTAGGATCAACTACAAGTTCACCTATTAATTGTAATAATATCACCTCGGAATCCTCGGATAGTATCCAACGTTCAGCAAAACAATTTGTTAACGTACCATTACAGAGTTTTCAGAGTACGAGCTGCCGAACTTCAATTTAGGATTATTTTTCACCTCCACATTTTAAAAAACCGAAATGCATATCTTTAAAATTATTATTTGCTGTAAGTGCTATAAGTGTAGTATATTACATCGTACTGATGAAAACCAATTACTTCGAAACAAATGTATCTAATCATAATTTTTGTCGTCACTGTGCAATGCATTTTACATAAAGGCAGGTAAATAATTCTTTCAAATTCTTTAAAATTTGCAATTTTTAATGGTTTCTTTAAAAATTAATAATTACAAGTCTCCCTGTACAATTTTTTGATACTTAACTATTTTCGAATTCATAACAAAATGAATTTGTATATTTGTCACACATTTAAGTATCACTGCTTTAACTTTTTCATTTAACCAAGTGATAATAAAAGTATTTCATAAGTAATGGGTCATGGAACAGCTGTTAATGGTTCACGTTAATTTCAATGATTAACTTAAACTATTAATAGCTGTTTTGTGATCTATTACTTATGAAACATTTTATATTC